CTGCCCCTGAACGGGAGCTAGGGGAGGCCGGGGATGCTGCCGAGGAGGCCTCAGGGCTCCGCGAGCAAGCAGAGGCCTGAGCGCGACTTGCGAGTTTCTGAGTTGGGTTGTCCTCGCGGCTACTGACGTACGGATCTGCCGAAGCCCTAACGTGCGATCTTCATTATTTCTTTTTCCTGGGTATGAAGAGCCCCCTGGAAAATCGGCTAGTTCTGTGATTAGAGAGGCCCCCGTTTTTACAGAGATGGTTGTTTAAATAAGAAAAGTGCAGTACTTTTTCTCCTGAACGTTCAAAAATTTTGCTCACTGGGTGTTGCTGCCCTTTGTGTGGACTGTTGTTAGTTTGAGAAGGAAATCTCATCAGAGACATTTTTTAAAATATATATTCTCTAGTTGACAAATCCGTGCACTAAAAATGTGTCTCTCCATCCTAAGCTCACACAAACTGTAAGAGTCCCTCATATATAGTACAAGAACTGGGTATAAGACTGCTGTTCTAAAACATGCTGCATAAAGAGAGCAGGAAGGACTGTACTGAGCGTAGTAGGGGTAAACAAGCACTAGAATGGTTTATAGGGGTGGTATGCAGAATACATAGCAGATGATGAGCATATGGAAACGATTATTTGCAGATAACCTGGTTGTTCAAGCTCCCTGTAGATGACAATTCTTTTTCCTTCTAAGTCTCTGTATTAGTAGTTTTTGGCTAGAATACGTTACTTGTCTGTTCCATTAATTAAATGATATGCTAACGTATTGATAATTTGCTCCCACCAAACATCATCTGTAGCAGGGCTATAGGAATGGATTCCTTATTCTGACTTTTTCCCTAGAGATGTTACTGGGCTGTGTAGCATTTATCCTACTGTGGGAATCCGGAGAAACAAATACCAAAATCCTAAAGCTAGATGCAATGAAGCCTTTGGACATTGAAGTCTTAGAGTGGAATCACTGGCTCTGAATTGGACACATTCTTCACCTGATAAGATGGTTACATACACCAATTTGCAGAAGTCAAACAGCTAAAAAGATGCATGCCTTAAAATAGCTGGTAGAAAACCATGAAGAGAGGGTTTTGTACCCCAAGTTTATTTCTTCTATTGAATTTAAGCATCTTAGTTGTGATAACAGAGAGGGGTCAGTCGTGGTCTGAAAGCTCTTTGAGTTCACTTACATGGCGCTGTCAAAGTGGAGCCAGAGTTTGTTTGTTTTTGAGACAGAGAAAAAGGATAAAGAGGAAACTGCAGGCTTTTATTCAGAAAGATATTCTTTATTATTCATGATATGTAAGGCTGGTGTTCAGGTTTTCCTTCAGGCTATTGCGTAGGTATTTCACATTTCCAAATTAAGTGCCTTAATTTTCAAATATTTTAGCAGAGTGTTTAATGGAACTCTCTAGGAAGGTGAAATGTTTAGGTTTTGTAGGTTGTTTGTTTGTTTTTAGTAGATGTAGTTGCTCTTGTGCATGGAGTGTGATCCTGCAGACAAGTACTAGTGAGTACTAGGCATGTTCTGAGTTTGCCTCTAAGCAGGACTTTAGAGAGTGCTTCCACTCAAATAGGTAGAGGTCAAAGAACTGCTCAAAACCTGCAGCATGGAAAAATGTAGATACCTTTGAAGCTTTAAATTTAGCTTTAAATTTCATTCTTCCTGCTTCAAAGACTCAGACTGCTACTGGTATGCCCAGGTTGCACTGGATTTCTCTAGTGGAACAGGAATGGGATCCACATCTTCCATTAATTCCATCAGTTATTTAATACATTTGACCTGAAATAATGAATTTGTTTCAGTTTTATGATATGAATGAACTTTCTTCACTAAGTAAATTATCTGTATGGGTTCTAAAACAAATCTCTTTAGCTTGTTTTGCATTTTTAGTGTATGTTCTCATTTATTCTCAAGTGCTCAGGATTTTTTTTTTCTTTTTTTCTAAGGCTTGGTCATTAACTGGTCAGGTCAAGGATTACAAAAACTGGGTCCAACTTTACCCTGTGATGCTGATACTCACACTCTAATTCTGGACAAAAACCAGATAATTAAATTGGAACACCTGGAAAAATGCAGGAACCTGATGCAGGTAAGTGTTACTTGATTTGAATTTCCTATGAAATATTGGAACTGTGATACTAATTAAAATGCTTCTGTTTTAGGGCCACATTTTATAATTGAAATCAGTTAGCAGTTGCTCTCTTCGTAGAAAAACAAATGATGCTAACTGAAATAGAAAATCTTGTTTTCTGTGCAGCCCTACCATTGACAGTGGTCCAAGCTGTTACTCAAATAACTAAAGGTGCACTCAGTAAAACCTTATGGTGGGGGTGAGAAGAGGAACACTTAAAAAGGCCATTGACAACTCTAACAATTTAGACACTTTTTTTTTTTTGCTTTTGCATGCTTGATTTTTATAATGTTAGATGTAGCTTAATTTAATTATCTTTTTGTAGGTCTAAGTATGGATACTTTTCTTTCCCTTTGGGTCTGAATCTTCACAAAGGAGTAGGATTATTTACCAGAATTTGCACAAAGACAAATTGTTTTAAAATATTTCATGAAGTATCACCCTAGAAAGAAAACTTCTACCAGTGGTGCTGTATCTTGCCACTGGGATTTGGCCTCCTCCTGTGTTTTGCATGCTTTGTAAATTAATCCTCTTCAATTTCCCTTTTTTTGCCCATATAATTTGATTTTTGTTTTATTACTTTTCCAAATAAATTCTTATTCTCCGTTTATAAAAATGAAATAAACACTAGCAGTTGTGAGTAGCCATTTTTACATTACATTTAGGATAGATCTGGACAGATGTGGAACAGGATGAAGTGCAAATAGCAAATACAAAAATGTGAAATGTGTGTGTGTGTTCTCTACTTTCTCATTAACCTGTCAAATCATATAAGCTCTGACATTGCTAGTGCTTATACTTAATCATAATACTGGCAACAGTCCATTTAAATTAATAAGAGTGCTAATGTTAGCAATATTTAGCATATGCATGATGCTTGCAAAAATCAGAGTATCGTCCCCCAAAGACAAAGCTATGCAAATCCATATAATTATCACTGAAAGTATGATTTCTTACTGCAAATAGTGCAATAATTTGCAAAATGGCTTGGCAATTCTGTTTAAAAAACTTCTTTTAATATAAAACAATTAATAAAATTTTATTAATTAATTTTCTTTCTTAAGAAAGAAATTAATTTTAGTAATTTCTTAATTTTGTTATTAATTTTCTTTCTTTAATTAGATAATGCTAGGAGAAGGATTTCTCTAAGTGTGAGTTGCGAAGACAGTTTTCTTTGATCAGTAATTTGCTTCCTTGCTCTTGTCATTTCTTGTGCCTGCGTTATTATTTGCTTGCAAATGGAAAATACAGATTGAAATAATTTCTCTTGGAATGTTTTTTTTTAGCCATTAAAATAAAAACTAGACTGCTTTGTAAAGCCTAATGGTTGAAACTGTTTCTTCTGTTTGTGTGTCAATTGAAATAATTTCTCTTGGAATGTTTTTTTAGCCACTAAAATAAAAACTGGACTGCTTTGTAAAGCTTAATGGTTGAAACTGTTTTTTCTGTTTGTGTGTCAATCTGCAGCTGTCCGTGGCGAACAATCGTTTGGTCCGAATGATGGGTGTATCCAAACTGACCAAGCTGAGGGTGCTGAATTTGCCTCATAACAGTATTGGTTATGTGGAAGGGCTGAAGGATCTGGTGCATCTGGAATGGCTGAACTTGGCAGGAAATAACCTGAAGGTAAAGTATGTCTTGTCTATACATTTTCTAGAATCTGTTTTGTGGAAATTTGAAAAAAGGCGGAGAAGAACATTTTTACAAATTTGTTCCACTTCAAAGAAATCTGTATTTTTATTTTTGGTTTTCATGGAAACAATATTTAAAGCTCTGTATCTACGAGTATATGAAATTTAGGAGGACAAAATTTGGAAAAGAATTATTTAGGTGTAAAAAGAAAGTGATTTAATATCAAAATGTAATGAGATTGGCAACATTGTCTGAAAACAGAAAAGTAATCATCTCTTTAAAAGCAAACTGTGTAGAAGCATGGTTAAATTCATTAGTTGGAGGGTTACTTGTGCAGTATTTTTTAGCTTCCAGAATTATTTCTAATTGCTGATATCTGTTTAAGGGCTAAACAAAAGTACAAGACTTGCTCTTATTGACTTTATTTTTTATTTTTTAAAAAGGCCATTGAACAGATCAATTCCTGTATATCCCTTCAGCATCTTGATTTGTCGGACAACAACATATCTCAGTTAGGAGATCTCTCCAAGCTTATGTCTCTAAAGGTAGTTGCTATTTTATATCTGTTTTTGTGGCATTCTTTGCAAAAAGATATTTGCTTGGAATATTACTGCCTGGTAAAGCACTCATCATTCAGAAATCACCATAACCCTCACACAGAAGAACATGAGAATTGTTTCTTGTGTTGTTTTTTTAAATATGCTACTTGTAAAGGTGAATACACTTTAATTCTGTGAGTTATGATGATAAAGTTTTGCTTTAAATTGTAAAATGCATATTTTTTCCTCACTAGAATATGAAAAAAAAAACACATAGTTTTGATGGCACCATAATTCTTGTTTAGTTTGTATTCTGCACATTAATCAAACAAGCATACATTTCATCAGCACATTTTTATTTTATAGACTCTGTTACTACATGGAAATATTATAACCTCCCTTCGTACAGCCCCTGTTTGCCTACCTCAGAATCTGACTGTTTTTTCTTTGGCAGAAAATGAAATCAGAGACTTAAATGAGGTAAGACATAGAAGATGTAAATGGGCTCTCTGCTTTGAAATAACCCTTGCTTGGCCTTAAACCTGCCTTTATTACTATGATTATTATTATCCAGGGATGTTGACAGTATACTACGTTCATAGAATATTTTCAGTGATTGCCTAGAGACTGAAAGCTGAGCAGCTGCTGGGGCTATCTGCAGATTATCTGCTCAGAACAGAAGTTTAAAATGCACTTATCGCAACTGATCTTTGAGGGCTCGTGTCTCATTTTACCCCTTTATCAAGCACTGCGTAAGGGAAACAAGTATTCAACCTGTATGAATATATATGTATCTCCATTGGGAGATGGTGGTGGTGGTATTTTAAATCAGAAGTAGCCAAAATTGACAGACTTCTGTGTTGGAAGAACAGCTTACTTTTATGACAAATTTTTCCTTTAAAATAGGGTAGTGTTTCTCGGCTTTTTGGTATGCCTTGATTTTGTCAACATTTCTATAGCTGCTGTAGTGACCTGGAATAGTAGAAATACTACGATTTTCTACACGTCAAATCATCACCTATGTTTTAAGAGAAGGTAATACTTTACAAGAGCTATAGTAGTTACAGGAGAATTAATAGGAAAATCAATAGGCAGTAGTTGATAGGCACTTTGAAAATGTTCATGTTTCAGAAGCAAATTGATTTTCAGTGTGTTTGTAATTATCATGTGAGATGTTTAGCCCTAACCAGCAAAACTGTGCTATGTTCAGTAAGCATACGATTGTTCTCTTCCGTTAACAAAGACTCTTTATGTTCTGCAGGTTTCTTTCCTGGCTTCTCTTCCTCAATTGGAACAGTTGTCAATTATGAACAATCCTTGTGTGATGGCCACACCTTCTATCCCTGGCTTTGACTATAGGCCATACATTGTCAGCTGGTGTCTGAACCTAAAAGTTCTTGATGGATATGTGATTTCTCAAAAGGAAAGGTAACATCATGTTTTTAAAGTATTGGATGGAGTCTGGCTAAGCTGAAGTTTTGTTTTTATATAATAAAAAATAGTAAAGTGAATATGATATAAAATAGTGTTTGTCTTGCTAAGGCATGCATGAGAAACAGCCCAATTAATATTGTTGCTGTTTTGAGATTTTTCATCTGTTTCACTGGAATTATTCTGTAAAACTACAAGTTTGTTTAAGCGGAAATAAAAAATTGGGGCATATTTTATTACTAGACTCAAAGTAAGACTTTAACAAATCGGTATTAAATTATCAGCAGCCTGTTATCCCTTCCAAGTTTACAACCTCTTTGACTTTGTAGATTGAGGAAAGTCTGCAGATATTAAAAGTATTTTCTTGGGAAATGATAAAGCGTGCTCTTTTGTAAAGTGTCTGACTTGTGGGTCTGTTTTCAGATCTAGAGTTTCTTTTAAAAATTAATTTAACCAAATGAAATGTAACCAGTTAAATTTACATTAATTTTTGCTTAATCATTTTGTCACTACTGTATGGGTGTATATATATGGCAGTAGAGATGTCATGTTAAAATTCTTGACTTCGAAACAGTCCAACTATGTTAATTTTCCCAGGAAAATAATCATTATGCAGCATTAATGCATTCTAGTTCAATATATGAGCAGAGTCCAAGACCTACTGCCCTTTTTTCCAAATTAATAGAAATTAACTTTTTGGTTAAAGACAAACCATTCTTGTTTCTATTTCACCTTTTAACAGGGCTCCCAGCCAAAGTCAGGAGTTTTATGACAGGCATTAATGATGATTATTTTTCTCCTTGCTAGCTTAAAGGCAGAATGGCTCTACAGTCAAGGAAAAGGAAGATCATATCGACCTGGACAGCATGTTCAGTTAGTCCAGTACTTGGCAACTGTTTGTCCTCTTATATCTACATACGGTCTTCAGACTGAAGAAGATGCCAAGCTGGAAAAAATATTGAGTAAACAAAGGTGAGAACTTTTTGTTTCTCTATTGTTAGAAAGCTTGCTTGGGAGTGTAATTATGTGTCTCATTTTGCGTTGGATAGAATAATATTTCCTGTGAAGTGTTTAAAAAGAGTAATGATGACTGCAGAGGGGAAGGAGAATGAGGTCACAGGATGTAACCTAGAAGGAGCTGAGAAGCCAGACAGTAGCAGAAAGCATTTTTCTGCTTGCTGGACCATCTAGAGGCATTATTTTTCAATCTGTGCTCTGTCAGACATGGAAGGGGATTTTTGGTGGGGCTGTGATTAAAACAAAAAATATACTGAGATTCATCCCACACAAGAAAGTTGGAAAACTCTCTTTTTACTGTAAGTGAAGACCATTATGGTAGGCTGCATGATTAGCTGCTTTGTTGCTGGTGCTGTTTTTGTGTTTTTTTGTTTGGTTTAAAGCTAAGGTTGTCCTTTGAGGTACACTGTTCCTGATGTTGTACTTGAAGTGCAGGAGTATTGTAGTTAGAGGCAGAGTGGCAGCTCAGCCAAAAGGGCTGGCCTTGAGAGTCTATAGAAGAAGCTGAAGTTCTTGCATGTTGCAGGTGTGCATGGGGTATCTGTGGGGAAGTTGCAGAAAGTGTTGGGGCAATTTCAAGGAGAAAACTGAAAAGTGTGATCATGTTCTTACTCTGCTCAGTGATGTGCTCTTGGGAAGAATTCAGAAAGTTGGCTTGTAAGATAGGACTTTTGATTTTCATTTTTAAGGTTTTAAGACAGTCGGGCTTTCTGACGTCTAACTCATGATATTTCAATTTAGCAGTATTGAAACAGCCGCTGTCAGATTGTGGAGGATGATTGCAGCTTGCAGTAATACTCTTTTTTGTCAATTAGTGCTAGGATTTTGTTGTTGCCTTCCCCCCACCCAGTAATAGTGATACCTGCATTCAGTTATTTTCAAATATAGAAGATGTTTCCTCCATTATTCAAACTCCTCTATAAGTATAGGCATAGTGTATCCTGCAAAAGACTCTTAAAATATCTGCGTACTTTGCTTGTGCAAATAGCTACTTTATCAGTCCATATGCAGAGCTGCATTAAGGTTGTGTGGGGTTGTGTTTTGTTCTGGTGCATGTACTTGTAAGAAGGTGAAAGGAGCGGGAGGAAGGAGGAGCAGGAGCAACCTAAAACATCCAAGATCTGTAGCAAGAAGACAGGTTGTGTGAGTCTCTACTTTGTGAGTGGTCCTGTTAGAGAACCCTACACGTACAACATACTATAACTAGCCTCTTAGAAGGGTCTGATCACGTTTTTCTCTCGATTAGTACTTTTAGATGATTTCTGTGCCAAAAAAAAGTTTTAAAGAAATATAAAATCTATTTGACCTCTGTGCTTAGGTTCCACCAGAGGCAGCTGATGCATCAAAGCCAAAATGAAGGACCACCTACATCTTCCACCCCCAAGAAAGCTCAGCCAGTTGCATATGAACACAGCAACCCAGCCCAGCCACCACAGACAGTTCTTGAAAGTGGTAAGGTGCAAACGTTCTCCTCTTTCTTACCTGTGGAGATTAACCCCCCCTTTTTTATTATTTTTCTTTTTTAATCTAATTACCTTATGGGGAGAATTTCAAAACAAGGCCCTGTTATCTTTTAATTTGGGGAGATTTTGAACTGAAGGAATACTTTGTTTTCTAACACACTTTATATTTCACACTTTTTCACATCTTGAAATGATAAGAAGATTGTTCTTTAGGTGATAAATGAAAGCCAGTAAGCTAAAAAGTTGCTACTTTGACTGTTGCATCTGATTAAAGTGTAATTCTTCTGGGGAAGGCAATTTGCGCAGTTTACTGTACCTGGTATTTATAAGGTTTCTGGATTTTACTGTGATAAGTAATTATTATCCTTAATGCTACACAGTAATGACTATGATTATTAGCATTTTAAATCTTGCTACTTAGCTATCTAGGTGCTTATTTAAAAACCAAATATGGATCTCTATGGATTAAAGGAGGATACTTTGTTGAAATACTATGTGATTTTTTTTGAGTATGGCTTTCTGCCTGTCTAGAACCTGTCGTCCAGAAGAATTCTTGGGTTGGACCAAGTGCCAATGATGACCATTCCTATGCAGTAAAGAACACTTTTCCTCTCGAAAGAAGCAGTCACAAGGAGCTATACCTTGAAGATATACAGACTGATGAGGACAAACTAAACAGCAGCCTTCTATCCTCAGAGTCTACTTTTATGCCAGTTGCTTCAGGATCGTCTCCAGTGTCTCCTACTACAGACCCCAGGCTGCATGGAATCAGCCTGGACCTAGAAGATGATGGTGAAACAGTAGCTGAATCTGTGAAAGATAGGGAAGAAGCCACTACCCAGCAAGAAGGAACTTCTTGGGTTGTTTGCCAAGAGCACTCCAACAAAGCAGCAGAAAGTGTGGAAACTCAAGAGACCGTTAAAGAGAGCAAATTGTTGCTGTCTCCTGATCCAGTAACACCTAAACTGACTGCTAACAGCAGCAATAATTTAGCCCCCTCTGAAGAGCACGTTCTGCACAGCCACCCCAGCGCATCACTAGGTGCTGAGCCAGTAGTTACAACTCTTTGCCCTGATCAGAGTGCAGGAGAAAATTCTGATGCATCATCCGCAGCTAATCAAGGTGCAGCTGAACTGCAGCAAGTGACTAGAGCAGCTACAAAGCTCCAAGCCTGCTGGAGAGGATTCTACACGAGGAACTACCATCCCCGAGCCAAGGAGGTGCGGTATGAAATTCGGCTAAGCAGAATGCAGGAGCACATCGTTTGCCTTACCGATGAAATAGAAAAGTAAGTTGAGGTCTGTGTGTGTTTTCAAATCTGAATAAACATGACAAGTGTTTCAGAATAGGTATAAAATGAT